GGAACTTCGCTTCTCATGGAGGAAGACGACGCATAAAAGGATGGAGGGAGAAGTTACTAGTAATGGAAGAACAGCCAGCCCGAGCCCTTCCCTGAAATGGAGGCCAAAGAAGGAACTCATGTGTGGTAGAAGAGAGCTGGAAGGGCAAAGAGATGTGCCAGAGGGAGAAGGCTAGTGAGACATGATGGTGAAGTCTAAAGAGGGGGCAGTGAAGCCGAGGGCTCATTGTCATTGTCAATGAGCTCATTGTCATTCAGAAATTCAGAAAAAGTGGGTAACTTGAGATAACATTCTAGGGTGGGCAGGGTGACTCCTAGTTCAATGGAAAGCATTCAATATTGTGGAACACCAGGTTGGATATAGAATCAGGAGTCCTAGGTTTGAATCCCAACTCTGACACCGACTTCCTTTGTAAAGGTGACTAGAAACAGATATGTGGGGCCGTGTGGGATATGGAAAGACCTCTGGTTTTGGAGTCAGAAGACTTGGATTCAAATCCTACCTCTGACATTTACTAGCTGTGTGACCCTGCTGTCTGTGCCCCAGACAGCTCTCTAAGACTGACTATGTGTTGCAGAGTAGGAACTAAAGATTGGCATCGGTAGATGGAGTGTACTTACTAAGAATTCCCTGTGTCAGTGAAACCACAGTTCTACTTTAAAAACAAAATCCAGGTTCTGTGTTAGATGGAGGAGATGCTGAGGCAAAAATCAAGTACCTGCCCTCAAGGAGCTTATAGTTTCTTAGGGAATCTTTGTAGGTTGCTGGTTTCTGACCTACTCAGTGCTTGGTTTTCTGTATCTGAGGTGCTAAAAATGAAGATCAGATCAATCAGCAAACATTTTAAAGGATGACTTCTGTGCCAGGCACTGTGCTGGGCATTGAGGAGATAAAGTAAAAAAGCAAAAAGCAGTTGCTTCCCTCAAGGAGCTTACATTCTGCTGAGGGAGACAACACGTATGTATGAGATGCATACACAGCAGATGGGAGGTAGGCTTGGAGGGGCAGGCACCAACAGATAAGGGGGCTGGGAATGGCCTTCTGCAGAGGGTAATGCTTGGACTGAGTCTGGAAAGAAGCCAGAGATTCTAAGAGACAGAGGAGAGGAGGGGAAGCATCCCCAGAGAGAAGAAACTGATTGGGGAGGGGACCTCAAACCAAAGTGAGTGCAGAAAGAGGAAGGAGGCTCCCATCACAGACCTCCCACAGGCAAGGTCTTTTAAATCCTTTTTTATTAGGAAAATAAACCAATTAAATAGCATTGCAGCTTGTAAAATCGAATTTAACAGATTCTGTGGATGAGTTTTCACACTAGCTGTTCCTCTCCCTGGGTGCTGACATAAGGGGGGTTGGTGTCTACTGGTGTTTGGTGGGTGAAACCTCATGTGACCTGAATATATTCTCCCATGTCATCTTACCTGGTATTTTATTCACTCCATAAGCATTTATTAAGTGCTTACTGTATGCCAGGTGCTAGAGATACAAATACAAAGAATGATACTATCCCTTTTCTCATGGATCTTGTATTCTAATGGATGAGGTGATAAGTATGTGTGTATATGTGTGTGTATCAGTAGGTACTGGATAAACATTAAAATAATAAATACAAATAAATAAAAGGTGATCAGGAAGGGAGAGCACTTGCAGCTGGGGAGGGGGATTAGGAAAGGCTGTAGAAGGTTGTTACTTGAGTTGTATCTTGAAGGAATAGAAGGATTATAAAAGGTGGAGGTGAGGAGAGAAGGCATTCCAGGCATGGGGAATGGCCAATGCAAAGGTGCAATGAGAGGGAATGGAATGTACTTTGCACAAAGAACAGAGAGAGAGTCAGTATTTTCCTTCCTTCCTTCCTCCCTCCCTTCTTTCCTCCCTCCTTTCCCTCCCTCCTTCCCTCTCTCCTTCCTTCCTTCCTCCCTCCCTCCCTTCCCTCCTTCCTTCCTTCCCTCCTCCCTCCCTCCTTCCTTCCTCCTTCCTTCTTCCTTCCCTCCTTTCTCCCTCCCTCCTTCTTTCCTTTCCTCCTTCCTGCCTCCCTCCCTCCTTTCTTCCTCCCTTCCTTCCTCCTTTCTCCCTCCCCTGGCCTTCCTCCTTCCTTCCCACCCTCCTTCCTTCCTTCCTTCCCTCCCTCCCCCTTTTCCCCTTCCCTCCTTCCCTTCTATTCTTCTACCCTCCTACCTTCCTTCCTTCCTTCCTTTCCAGTCTGGAAATGCAGGAATGGGCTCCTCATGGCCCCAACTCCACTCTCATTGGGATATGAGTTTTGGCATTCTCTGTTTCCAGTCTATGCTAGTTTGCCTCTCCATAGGTAACCTGGTGGCCCCCTCATTCCCAGGGGCTCACCACACCAATGCCAGACTTAGTGCCAACACTGGATTGGGTTAGCCCACTGCATCTCAGAGCTCCTGATCCACCAACCTCAGGCTCCCCCTCAGCTGGGACTACAGGCATGAGCTACCATGTCTGGTATTTCTCCAAAGAACAGCCATTGCATCCTTGTGTCCCATCCTAGAAACGGGAGGTGCTTACCTCATTTTTCATGGAAATGAAAAAGCAAAGCAATAAATTTAAAGGAGAGTAACAGTAGAATTATTCTTTTCCAGGGTGACTGTTGAGAAACAAAGAACTAGTGTTTTGAATCGTGGCTGTTCAGAACCTAATGACTTTTATATACTATGTTTGGCTAAAGCTTTCCTTTTCTCTCCTTCCCTGCTCTTATTTTTCAAATATAAATTAAAGAAGCTGATGGGGCTGGTTGATATGGAGGAATATATTTTGTACTGACCAGGCAAACTTTTGGAAGAAGTTTTGTAAGGAGTGTCAACCACCAAGTCCTAAACAAATGCTGGTGTTAAATTCCTTATCAATGTGAGCACCCCCTTCTGCCTATACCGACCATGACTCCTCTAAGCCATCTCATCTTATTTGGTTACATTCAGTAAGCATTCATTGAGTAGTGTGGGACAGTGGACTTGTAATCAGAAAGACCCAGGTTCAAATCCTACTTCAGACATTAGCTGGGTGACCCTAGGCAAGACACTTTAACCTCTCTATGCTTCAGTTTCCCCATCTGTAAAATGAAGGTATTGGACTCAGTGGCTTTTAAGGACCCTTCTAGTTCTAAATGTGTTCTTTTATTGACAAGGAGATAGTGTGGTACAGATGGAAAAGCAGGGGATTGAGAGGCAGAGGCAGTGGTCCAGGATTCAAGTCCTGACCCTACTCCTTAGTACTGGTATGGCTTTGAGCAAATTGTTTCACTTCTTTGGGTCTTACTTTCCTCTTCTGCCAAATGAAGGGATTGAACTCAGTGGCCTCTGGGGACCTTTCTAGCTCTAAATCCCTGATCTCAAATAGTACAGCAAGATAGGCAGGACAAGTGTTATTATCCCATTTTATAGATGATAAAATGAGCTCAGGAAAGGTAAAGTGCCTTCCTCTGTGTCAGAAGACAAGTTTGTGACTAGGAGGTTGAGACTAGGCCAGATGACTTCTACGTCAGCAGTAGAATCTGTATTCCAGCCCCAAATTGCTTGTGGCATCTTCTTTATGGTACCAAGAATAGTCATTTTTATCAACCACATCCACCAAGAATGTCATCTCTACTCATCAATCAGTCAACAAACATTTATTAAGCACATGTGTCAGTCACTAGGGATGCAGGGACAAAGATGAAACTTTGAGAAACTTACTGTCTACTAGAAGAGACAATGTGTGCATGATAAGTATATAAAATATATATACAAGGCAAAGGGAGAGGTGGGAGTGAGGCACTATCAGTTGGGAAGGGGAAAGGTTTCATGGAGAAGGTGGTGTTTGAGCTCCACTTTGGAGGTAAGGAGGGAAGGAAGGAGTTGTAGGCAAGAGGAAGAAAGAGTGTTGGGTGTGAGGAATAGCAAAAAGGTTAACTTGATTTGATCATAAAGTAATATATCATCATCATTATAAAGATAGTTAACATTTATATTGTACCTACTATGTGCCAAGCACTGTCTAAATGCTTTACAAATATTTTCTCCTTTTACCCTCACAACAACCATGGGGAGGGGTAGGTGCTATTCTTATTTCCATTTTACAAATGAGGAAACTGAGGCAAACTGGGTTAAGTGACTTGCCCAGAGTCACACAGCTAGTAAATGTCTGAGGTGGAATTTGAAGTCATCTTCCTGACTCTGGGCTCGACATTCTAGCTGCCTAGTGAATGAATGAATGAAAAAGAATTTATTAAATGCTTACTCTGTGCCTGACCTTGGGGATAGAAATACAAACAAGCAGGACATTGAAGAGGGGCAATGTCTAAAAAGCCTGGAAAGATAAGTTGGAGCTTTAAATAACAGTCCAGTGTGTGTTTGATTTTGGAGGTACTAGGGAGCCATTGGAGTTTATTGAGCGAAGGAGTGATGTGCTTATATCTGTGCTATCCCCATATCCTTTTTGTCTTAACAAAAAATGAAGCAAAAGTCAAGCAGATGAGTGACTTGGGTAGCATTTGATGCTGTCACTGTCTTTCAATGATACTATTCTAGCATGTCCTGGATCACTAATTATATTAGTGGCTAATTAATAGGGGGGAAGACTTTGGCAGCTTCTGTGGCCTTGAAGAACAATGCAGCTGGAGCTTTTAGCAGAGGGAAAGTCTGGGTGGCAGGCCTTTATCTGTTTCTTCCCTCCTTCCTTCCCTTCTGTCCTCCTCCCCACCCAGGAGCCATCTCCAGTTGTCCCAATGTATATCTGGCCACTGGACCCCGATGGCTCTGGAGGAGACAGTGAGGCTGGTGACTTTGCACAGCCAGCCCTCCCTCCCTCATTTAAATCCAATTCACTTGCAAGTCATGGCATCACCTTCATGACAACATGGTCCTCTTCGAGAACAAAGGACAAACAACTTCCCACCCTCCCTCTCTCTTGCTCTCACTGCCTAATCCTCTTTCTTTTCTGTTTTAATTTTAAAAAATGTATTCTGTGTTCTTCATTGCTAATGAGTCCCGTCTTCTCTCTTTTGTCAGTCATGCGGAGGAATCCCTTTGGAATGGACATCTGTTGTCGGAAGGGCTCCCGGAGCCCACTTCAGGAACTCTACAACCCAACTCAGGTAAGTGCTTTGGTATCACATCTTCAATCCCGTCTTTGCGCCTCCAACTTAGACACTTTTTTGCTGAAGGATTTGAAAGTGGCTTCCTGTTTGGATTCAAAATTTGCTTCGGCCAAGCACAAATTCTCCTCCTCCTTTGGTCTTATTTTACTATTATTCTGTTCTATTGAATGGATCTTTGTGGCCATAAATGAGAAAAGGAAATGTCTCAGAACTTGGTGGGTTATCTAGATTTGGAGTTCTACTTATGTGTCAGGTGAGGCCAGGTTTGGAGAAATCAGATCAAAGCTATAGTTGCTGTTCCAAGAGCTGCTGGAAAAACATAGCAATGGGAATTTGAGGATTGCATAGACTGATTCCAAGGGCCACTGGGAAAACATAGGAATGAGAATTTAGGGGTTGCCTAGACTGGTTCCAGGAGCCTCTGGGAATATATAACAATGTGAATTTGGGGGTTGCATAGACTGGTTTTAAGGGCCACTGGGAGAATATAGCAGTGGGAATTTGAGGATTACACAGACTGGTTCCAAGGGCCACTGGAAAAGCTTAACAATGGGAATTTGGGGGTTGAATAGACTGAGTCCATCATTTGGGCTTGCTTCTCTAGGGTTTTTGTGGGGAGCACTACCTCCATCAGAGGGCTAAAGGAAGAATTTCAGGTGGACAAGTTCTTTATATCTGATTCTAAAATCTAACAAGTACCCATTGAGTTATACCTCACTCAGCACATTTGGCAATGCTCAATTATTTGCGTGTTGGGGCTTTTTGTTAAGTGACTATCCTAATAAATCTGCCTCAATGTAGCTTTAACAAGGCAGTAAACGTTTCCAGTGCCTGTTGACTTATGAAAAGAGTTACTCTTTGGGATGAATAAATTCCAGCCCACTCCGTGCCCCTAAGCAGAGGGAGTGAGAACAATTTTAGGGGGCCCTAGAGTCATGATGATTAACCCTAAAGATGCCTAGCCATCTCTTGTGGTCAATTTGGATTCTGTCTTTCCCACTCCTTTTCACTTTGCTAGAATATATATTAGCACTGGATGCACCATCACCAAACAGAAAATCAAAGAAAGAGTCTGAGAAACAACAACTAGGGCTTGAGTGAAAATGAATAAAACCCTTGAAAGTGATGAAGGAAAGTTGAAAGTTTAGCCACTTGGTTATTGCCAGCCCTAAAGTCCCTTGATATCTGACTTTCCCCTGTCATCCAGAAATGAAGGACTGTACACAGGCATCATAGCTACTCAATCCTATAACCCTTTCCTAGAACCACTATGCCAGACCTGTAGTGGGCAGGCTGTGTTTGGGGGGTGGGGGTGGGAAGGGGGTGGACCCAAACACCCAAATAATCACTTCTCTGTCTTTTTTTCTGTTACTCCTTTCTGTTTTATATATTTTGCTGGGACTGGGTCTACACAACACTTAGCAGTTTTCTTATTCAGTATAGATACCTGAATAAAGTAGGGAATTTAGGACCCTTTCCTTCCTTGCTCTATCTCGCCTCCATTTACTTTGGGGCTTAAGCTGTCTAGTTTGATTTTTTTTTTCACTTGATCAAATGAAAGATATGCTTCAAAATCCATTTCAAATGAGAAAAGAAATAGCTGACGTTTATATAAAGTTTACAAAGTACTTGTTATATATGATCTTATTTGATCCTCATGATTGCACAATAGGTACCATAAGGCGTTTCTCTCCCTGTTTTATAAGTGAGGAAATGGAATCTTAAATGATTTACTCATCGTCTCATAGGCAGGATTTGAACCTTGACTCCAGGGTTTAAACTAGTGTGTTTGACTCAGGATCTAACACTTTCGCACTATTCCCTTTGGGGTTGGAGTTGTCTGCTTTGATTTTCCCCTTGCTGAAATTAGCCAGATACTTGAAAACTCACTTTGAAGATGGAGATATCTGATTTGTCTTTCCACAATGAACAAATTCTCCCAGTAATTTAATCAAACAATCAACAGTCAATGTGTTAAGCCTTTAGATAGTGCCAGGCACTGGGGATGCGAAGATCAAACTACATCGTACTCTCAAGAACATTACGTTCCAGTTGGGGAGATAAGTACATATAATACCCCAAGCCTGGGACATAGCAAACCAGGGAAGTTTTTCTTCAGGCCCAGTTTGGTGCATGAACTATTTGGTGGTGGAGAATGAGAGGCAGGGCCCTTTATTCAGTTTTCCCTTTGGACACAAGTTGGGTGCAGAAGAACTTCCTAGGAGCAGTTTTGTTCGAGGGTGGCATCAAGGGAAGCATGGGATGATTTGCAGATGTTAACCATTTCTGTCCATCCGTTGACATCTTCTGTTCTCAGATCATTTTGTTCTTCCAAATAAAACTATTGATCTGCTCCCACTTCTCTGACTGGGTTTTTATGGAGAACACACAGCCAAGCAATTTCGTGACTGGAGTCAGGTATTCAGAATATGATGAAAAATACAAATGAAGAAATAAATCTGATTGTACCCTCCCTTTATCCCTTTAAAAAATTGATGAGGAGGAAGTGATTTTATTTTATTCTTGTGGAGCCTTCTTTACTAGTAGTAATAGTACTGCTACTAACTACTACTAACATTGGAAGCAACAATGCCTTCAGTGCATTTGTCTACTATTCGCATAAAAGGAATGTGGAAAAATAGGCAGTTAGGCCAGTAACTTTGATGTTCTCACTTCCTTTTTTGGCATTAATAAGACCCACACCCTCCTCTCCTGTGTGGCTACTTGGGTATTTGCCTATTGCTTGGAGATAAATTCAGCTACCACCGGGTACTAGCTATTTACTAAGTCATCTACATGGAGACTCTTTGGTGGAGCTCTCTTTTTCCTCCCACGTGCTGATCTAGAGTTGTATTGTCTCCTGTTTTCAGGGCCTCCTAAGACTTTTTAAGCACATAGTCTATGCATATACTTAGAAGTGGATGAGACCTTAGAGGCCATTTTAGCCAAGCCCCCATTTTATAGATGAGGAAAGTGAAGCCCAGGGAAATCATAGGATCATAAATTACCAGCTGGAAGGACCCTTAGAAGTTATCTAGTCTGACTACTTCATCCTGCAGGCGAGGAAACTGAAGAGTATCAGTTGGTTTTCCGAGAGCATCTCAAGCTAAGAGTCTACTCAACACAGGGGCAAGTAGGTGGCACGTTGGATAGAGCACCGGGCTTGGAATCAGGAAGACTCATCTTCCTGAGTTCAAGTCCAGCCTTAGATGCTTATTAGCTGTGTGACCCTGGGCAAGTCACTTTACCCTGTTTGCCTCAGTTTCCTCATCTGTAAAATGAGCTGGAAATGGCAAACCATTCCAGTATCTCTGCCAAGAAAACCCCAAATGGGGTCATGGAGAATCAGACACAGCAGAAATTTCTAAAACAAGAATAAGAGTCCCCTCATGAGGGTAATATAGGACTATCACTTTGCTTCTTTGTGAGTATTCTGACCAGACTCAGCATCTCCCCCCCTCCCACTTTGCTTTTGTTTCCTTCTCAAGCCATGATTTTGATCTACTCCTCCGCCAGCCTGGCTGGCAAGCTGCTCTTTTTTTTGAAGAAATCGTGGCGAAGTTAATCTGGGCTGCTGCGGGGGGAGGGATGTGGTGTGGAATCAGGAGAAGAGAGGGAACCTGTTTCTCCTTCTGGTCTTCAGTTCCATATGACGAGGCCTTTCAAACTTAACACCCAAGGTGGCTCAGTCATATTCTGTCAGCTGTGTTTCCCTGCCAGCCAAGCCACTGAAAATGTAAAAATGGACAGCCTATCAGGAAGGGTGTGATCCTAAGTACGAAACTCCCCCTTGTTGTTCAGAAATCATTTTGTTCCTGGTAATGCAATTTTCTCTTGGTCTTCTCTTTGCATTTACCTTAAAAGCCGGCCCAGGTTCAAATCCAACCCCTGGCACTTATTCATGTCACCTTGCATAAATCACTTCCACTCCCTCTTGACCCCAGTTTCCTCATCTAGAAAGTGAAAGGGTCAAAGATCCCGTCTAGCTCTAAATCTACAATCCTAGGGCAAATAAAGAGAAAAATGTCTTTTAGCAGAAGGGAAGCAGTGTTGACTTGAAAGTCAGGAATGTATAGCATAGGAAGATGAGTAAAGCAATGTCTCAGGAGAGAATTCCACGTCAATGGATGAACAAGGACCAGAAGCCCCTTCTGGAAATGTGTTACAGTCTTCTTTTATATCCTCAATTTTCTTATTTTAGTTCAAGCCCCTACTGTTCAAGGGGAAAAAAAGAAAGTTGGCGAAAATGATATTTGTATCGGGTATTCTTGGGAAAAAAATACCACCACTGGGCATCTTGTAATTTTCCCCATTCTGTGCCGTCTCCCAAGTCTAAATATAAAACCTAATTGCTGATCGGATCCACCAACAAGAAGTTACTGACAGTTCAGTAGTTGCTGACTGCATATTTGAGGGCTGAGTGTATCTGTGGGCAGTCCTGCCTCTGACCAGACTCAGCTGGCAAAGCAGAGCTGAGCTGCTAGCAATTAATCCGATATAATTACCCCATGTGCTAGACAGGCAAAAACTGCTCGTTCCTTCTCCTTGGTCCCCTGTGATTCTCTCTTTGGGGGATAGTTTATAGGACTAGAGGAGCTCGATTTAGACCATCTGGTCCAACCCTCTCTTTTTACAGGTGTGGAAACTAAGGCCCACAGAGGTGACAGGATCACATATTGAGAGGTAGAAGATACCTCAAAGGCCTTTGAGTCTAACCCCATCATTTTACAGATGAGGGAACCGAGGACCAGAGAAGTCCAGTGACTTGTTGAAGATGGGTACAGGAGATAAAGTACTGAATTGGGTATTGGAGAACCTGCATTTCAAATCCTCATTCTGTCATTTCTTGTGTGAATGCGGGCAAGTCCCTGTACTTCTCTAGGCTTCAGTTTCCTCATCGGTCAAATGGGACAGAAGGTCACCTGCATAATCTCTGGTCCCTTCCAGCCTTTTGTCTGTGACCCTGTGATAACAGAGTCAGTAGCTGAGCTAGGATT